CAAGCGAATCCTCTGCCTCCCCTTCTTCCACGCCGCGATGGCCATAATGGCCCACATCACGCCCCTTCGCTCTGGCCATATCGCCTACGTGATGACTCGATTCCAGCTCGAGGATTTCCTCCGCTTCACCGAACAGTACGAAGTGACCGAGTTGTTCGTGGTGCCACCAGTCATCGTCTCGATCCTGCAGTCACCCCTGACGGCCAAATACTCGCTGAAAAGCCTCCGATCGGGCATGACGGGCGGCGCCAAAATCGACCTGCTGTCTCAGCAGAGATTCACCGCCCTGATGCATCCGGACGGCTGTATCAACCCTTGCTACGGCATGACCGAGATCAGTTGCATCGGCGCCTGCCACCCGTGGCCCGCGGTCGACACGGATGGAAGCATCGGCTACTTTCTGCCCAACCTTGAGGTCAAGTGAGTTCCAGAAAATCTCCTGAGGAGTGAACTCTCCGTTCGAGCTGACATCCCTCAAAAGGCTCGTTGACGATGATGGACACGAGGTCAAGGCTTACAACAAGACGGGAGAGATCTGGATCCGTGGACCGACAGTGATCAAGGGATATCTTGACAATCCGGAGGCAAACTCCTCCTCATTCTCTGCAGGATGGTTCCGCACTGGCGACGTGGCGTATTGCGACCAGACGACCAAGAAGTGGTATATCGTGGATCGGAAAAAGGTAGACAGGCCCCTTCCCCTTTCCAACCTCACGGGCACTTAACTCTGTCTAACACTTACCCCGTGGGGCGTGGAATACAGGAACTAATCAAGGTCCGCGGCTTCCAAGTCGCGCCTCCCGAGCTCGAAGCCGTGCTCATGTCACATCCCCTCATCGCTGACGCCGCCGTGATCGGCGTGCCGTCCTCTGATCCGGTCGACGGCGAACTGCCCCGCGCATACATTGTACGAAAATCGGACCGACGAGACGTCGGCGAGACCTTGAACGAAGACGGAGTGAAACAGTACGTCGCAGCCCGTCTGGCCAAGTACAAACAGCTGGGTGGGGGTGTTGTCTTTGTGCCGGCCCTGCCCAAGACGGCCAGTGGGAAGTACCTGAAGAGACATCTACGGGAGCTTTACAAGCAAGAGATGGCGAGTTCGAGCTCAACGACAAAGTTGTAGAAAGGACTAGATAGATGGCGTATCTTGGATACATTAGCTCTCAGAGGGAGGCTTTAGACTCAACACGTCACTTTGTGTTGCTCATTTAATCGTGTAGCACTGAGCAATTCGCGAGTCTCTCCCGATCAAGCATAACAGGAAGTATATATACTGTGACTGTACGTCTCATGATGCGGCCACGATTCAGCCAGCACCGTCTTCCCCGTTCCAGCGCAAGGGGGCCTTAAGCGTCTGCTCTCCAAGAACCCCAATCACGCCATGACATTCTTCTCGGGAATGTATTTCCCAAACTTCATGCCGTCTGGCACTTTCTTCCACTGCTTTGTGACCGGGTCGAGGAGCTCTTCCTCGCAGTTCCGCCACGCCTGCCTGATCATCTCTGCCTTCTTCTCGCTGCGCGGAGTCATGGCTATGCGGAAGTCGTTGGGCTGCACCGTGGTCCCGCCGACGAGGTCATCGATGTCGGCCTCGACGGGCTTCCCGTCCGGACCGATCGGCTTGTCGATGTTGAACGCCCAGACGATGCGCGCGGTGGCGAGAAACAGCGACCGCTCGGCAATGTGCATCCCTTGACACATGCGGCGGCCGTTTCCGAAGATCCAGTTCTGACGCTGGTTCTCGTCGGGGTTGGTCGCGGACTGGAATTCGGTCTGGGAGTCGTTGATGAAGCGCGACGGGTCGAACTTGCGGGGATTCGGGTTGCGCTCGGGGTCCATGTTGAGCGTCCTTTTTGGTGTCGGTCAGTCACACTGCACAAGTCTCAGGGCAGGAGAGAAGGGGGAGGCTGCTTGAAGCTTCGACAACTCACCAGTTGTTGTTGACGACAGAAGCGCCATTGGGAATCCTGTAACCCATGTAGTGGTCCTCCTGGATCACAGCGTGCGGAGATCCCAAGATGATGGTTGGCATCCACCGAATCGTTTCTTTGACACAAGAGCGAATATATGGACAGTTGGGGGCGTCATCCATGACCGGCATCCGATCAGGGCCAACGACCCTATCAATTTCCTCCCGTGCAGCCTTCTGCGCCTCGGGGAACATCAACATGGCCTGGATGAATCCCACCAGCGTCCCTGAAGTAGTGTCGGAGCCTCCTTCGAGAAGCGAGCCAGAGATGTATGCAGCTTGCTCGTCGGTAAATTTCTCTGTTTGTTGAGACAGGAAGACATCGACACTGAAACATGGCTGGGGGCAAAGTCATTTGTAGTTAGTATACAGGTTCAGACAGCCATTGCGCATCAGGAATTGACACACCAGACTGGTTCCACGCAGAATTCGGTCCTTGACATCCATCCAATGAGAAGTGTAAAGCTTTCGCTCGTCTTCGTATAGTTTTCTGGCACTCCGGTACTCCGGGTTGACCGGGCTGGGAAGTTTGCGAAGGATGGGGAAGCAGTCCATGATCTGAGCGCTGGCGCTACCAGCTATCTTGCCCCATTTCTCAAAACCCTGGGAGCCATGACGGTTAGCATAAAAGTACTTACCTGTATACTGGGAACAGCCTGGGAGGTAGCTCACCGTGAAGAATTGAAGCATCCGCGGATCTTCTGTACTGATGGTGCGGAAGCCATAAACCATTTGGGTCGTCAGTGAGCTGGTGTATCGTCGGAGGTGCAGGACAAAGTCGTCCGGTCGTTCAAGAAGGCCCAACAGCATCTGTTTGTTCTCAAGATCTTGGTAGGGGATGTAGGCGACAGCGGTCTTGATGTTGAGCGTGTTGTGCATCATTTTGTGGACGAGGCGCCACATGGGGCCATATTTCTGCACGGCAATTAGCATTTCTGATCCCAGCTTTTCGCCGCAAGTTGGGATATAAGGAGCTGACCATGGTCACGAATCGCTGACAGTTGCTGGCCACGTCGTGTGCGAGGTACATGTCCGGTCTCGAAGAGTAGATGGCACTCCTGTTGTGCAAGAGGTCCTTGACGGTCTTTGGTGACGAAAGGACAATCATGGTCTGGGTCCCAAGCATGAGGGAGTAAATGGGGCTTTTCGCTCGTCAGTCAGAATCCAAAGCGCGAAGACCGAACTGGGCTGGGCTACTGACCCGTATTCTTGCGCCCATTTCTGAAACTGGAGATGAGGTCGCTCGGTCGGGATCTATGACCATGCTCAGTCACTGATTGCACCACGTATGCCGCTCTTGAGAAGTCTTACCTGGTGAATGTTCCCTAGGATTGGTATCGTGGGAGGGCCAGGAGGAAGGTCTGCGGGTCGCTTTCCAACCTGGAGAATCCTGTATATGCCATAGAAGACGATGCCTGCTACGATTGTAGCGAGCACAATGGGGGTAAGTTGCTGGCCCATACTTGCGTAGAGTGACGGCAAAAGGGTCTTAGTTGCTAAGGATAAAGTACGTGGACACTACATAGCTCTGTGATGCATTCATGAACACTTATATCCCGGCAGTGATTCTCCTCTGGCTAACTCGGGTCGATCCCCCAAAGTGTCTCCCCTGTGTGAGGAGGAGTGCCCCTCCCCGGATGGCTTCATTGGCTCGGAGGCCCTTCCGAGTCCGGGGTTGGATACATTTGAACGGTTTATGTCAGTATTCCCGGGGAGGGGGGGTTGCTGGACTATTGCCTCCGGCCGAAGATCAAAGTCCAATGCGCGGCCAGATGTGTTTTATCAAGGCTGACGGAGCCCGTTCAAGCTGATTTTGACTCGAAACATTGTCAACAACTGTCTTCAGAGCAGCAACTTCGTGGACAAGCAGCCTCGAAACATGGCATCAAAACCTGTCGTCAGGAGGCCGACCAAGTTCGCCCACGTCGTCCTTCGCACTAATGCCGACAACTTCCAAAAGATGGTACAATTCTACAAGGACTTCCTAGGGGCCAGTGCCGCCTTTGAAAACGATTTCCTGTCTTTCCTCTCCTACGACGACGAACACCATCGCATTGCCATCGCTGGCATTCCGGGAACCGCACCGAAAAATCCCAAGGCCTGTGGATTGGAGCATACGGCCTTCTCTTTCGACACTCTGGAGGACCTCCTCGAAGCCTATCGACAACGAAAAGAATTAGGCATCTTACCAATATGGAGCGTCAATCACGGACCGACGACCAGCATATACTACGCCGACCCGGACGGCAATCAGATTGAGACTCAGGTTGACAACTTTGAGACTTCTGCAGAAGCGACACAATTCATGATGTCCAAGTATTTCAAAGACAACCCAATTGGCACCGACTTCGACCCAGAAGAGATGATCGAGAAGCTACGAAACGGGGTCAGTCCCGAGGAATTGAAGAAACGAGTCGAGATTGGCCCCCGCAGCATTCCGGTGCAATGAAACTGTCAGGCTGAACAGACACGATGAAAGGGTAGCTAGCATTGTCTAGTATGGTGACAAGGAAACTCAGGTTACCCTCAATTCCTCTGCATACCAAGGTATCTAGGCAGCATAGCTGGTATTAATTGATTACCGGAGGAGGCAGCCCGTATTCTCCGGAACACAAAATTACGCGTCCCCGTGCACTCCCCAGCTTATATTCCAAGCTCGCTTCTGAGTTTAGACCTGTAACCTGCCTTGTAATTCCGCATGGCTGACTGGTTGAGAACACTCGCCAAATCCAACAACCCTCCCTCCTCTTTCCCCCCTTTCCCACCCCCACAAATCCTGGGGAATGTTTCAAAAGGGCACGAATGCCATGCCTTGGCAGTGGCAATGGTCAAGAAGGCTTGTAGCTTCTACTGTCTCTTCTCGCAATTGCCCGTCTTGAGAGCTTGAATTTTCGCTTGTTCCCTCTTGCATAAGATAAGAGAGTCCCTTGAGCACCCCCAGAGCGCCCCATGAGTTGACCGCAGTTGGTTTTCGCGCAAGAGCACAGGCGTGTGAATACGCGGGAATCCACTCAGGCAGACTGCAAAGATGCCCGCTCGTCCCGAGATTCCCAAGTGCTCGGTCGCTTGCAACTATTGCCGCTTGAAGAAGGCCAAATGTAGGGAGGGCACTTGCACCACCAATCCTGCTGGACTACCTTTCTTCTTTCTCTACAATTACTAACTACGCACAGGCACGGGAAGTCGGCCGTGCACAAATTGTGTAGTAAGTGGTCGCACCTTGTTGGTGCCCCCTCGAGCGCCAGCTGATTCGGATCGTCGACGAGCAGTCCCATAGAGAGCAGTGTGTCTTTCCCGACAAGTCTTCCAGGAGGAAAACCAGTCACAGCCAGACCTTTCTAGAGCGACGGATTGCATCTCTGGAGCAACTACTTTGGCAGCACGAAGCTCCGACAAGATCAACGCCTGCTCCATCTGCTCCCGTACCGTATGTCGATGAGGCTTTGGAACGGCAACCGAGTCCCGTATCTATCCAACCGTCGGCGAGGTCAGAGTCATCGTCCAAGTCCCCTTCTACATGCCGTTCATTCGCCCCACCGGATAGCTCTGACAATACTTCGCCTGGAGTGCCGACCTGGATATCTAACTCAGCGGATGTAGCCCCGTCTCTTTTTGACATTCGTGATCTTGCAGCCTCAGAAGTCAATCTATCGCTGGCTGACCCGGTCTTGAATTTGGACAATGAACCCAACAACGGTTCAACGTCGGCGATAGCTCCCACTTCCTGTGAAAATTTGCGGCAGGGGCCGTCGCCCACACGACAGGACGTTGGCGAGAACACAGCCACAAGCGAGTCGAGTCTTGTCGCGGAAAATGCTGGCGAACTGCGTGATGGGACTCCCCCATCCCCTATGCAGGAGGTTAGTCTTCTCCCATCAAGTATGTCGCGCTTTTGGAGTTCTGTGGCTGAATCTGATCTATTAGGGCGACATCCAGGAGCATATTGGTACGATTACTGACAGGGATTCCTTTGGCAAAGTAGACATTGACCATGTGGTGACAGGCAAAGCCTCTTTTCTGACCATCTGCTCTCCGCATGGTGTCGAGTGGATTTGCCAGCAGCTGGGTAACTCGGACTTTCACCATAGCGCAAGCCGGCTGACCGTCACCATAACGCGATCGTTAAAGATGACGAAACCGCTCTCGGTCGAACGGCAACCCGATCCAGACTACGAGACAGCTTTGCTGTGGGCTACGGGTCAGTTTCTGTGGCTGTCTCACTACTCAAAATCTGTCGCTGACCCGTTATCGTCTCTTAGCCTTCTTTGAAGACAGCATCGAGCACACTCTGGGACTCGTGCCTCGCCAGGCGTTCGAGCGTAGACTTCAGCAGCATTATTCGCACCCTCTGCCTGCTGATAGTGACCCGCCATGGTACAGCCTCCGAAACACCGTGTTCGCGGTAGGAAGCAGGATTGCACTGTGTCGAGGCAGTGGACCTATGAGCTATACAACTGCGCAGAGACAATCTTGGTTGTACTTTGAGAATGCTTTGGCTGTCCTCACCAATCTACTCTACATGCCGTCAGACGTTACTGCTGTTGAGTGTACCTTGCTCATGGTAGGCCGAATTCCCACAACGTACTGCTGCTTCGTTTGGCTGATGTCGACACAGGCGTTGTACTGCGAGGCTATCTCGGCGCCTTCTCTGGAATATATGTTGCTGTCCACGGCAGTCCGGTTGGCCTACTCGAAACGTCTTCATCTACAACCCCCCTCCTCCTGTATCCTATCCGAATCCGAAAAGGTAACGCGAAATTGGTTGCTATGGGTATTGTACATGTACGATAAGCACGTTGCCTGTAGGTCTGGTCGACCCTCGGTAAGAGCCATCTGTATCCCCAGAATGTCTTGGTGGATGTTCTGACGGAATTCATCTCGTAGATGATTCGCGACGACGATATCAACGTTGCTTTACCTACCAAAGCCCGAGAAGACACCTCCACGGACCTGGGCCTGCTACTGGCTTCCGTCCGCCATGCCCAGATCTCCTACGCCATCGAGAGAGAGTGTTACGGGACGAAGTTCGGGCTCCGGTCGATCGAGGAGATCTGCAAGACCATTGAGAGACTAGACACTGAGTTGCGATCCTGGTATGCAGACCTGGGACAAGAATATCTTCTCTACACGCCCAAGCGACCCAAGGTCCTGCACCCTCGGATTAGCCACATCCACTTCCTGTTCCTCCAGCACTGTTTTCACGGATCCATGTGTGTGCTGCATTCCGCCATCACACAGCCTTGGAGAAGCAATCAACTGCAGCGGAGCCAGCAGCCCGAGCACGTCAAGCAGATCCAGGAAAGCTGTAAAACCATCGCAGAGTCATCTCGGGTCATCGTCCTCAATTCTCAAAAGTTCCCGATCGACGCCACCACCCCTTCTTGGTCAGTCTTTTCCAAGTCTGCGCCTGTTCGAGTCCCCCTTTCTTTGACTTTCTATGGTCGCCCTCTCCGGATGCTGACCATAACCTATCATGCCAGGTTGGTTTTCTATTTCCCGATCCTCGCAACCATGAATCTGTTCCTCAACACGGTGCGCTCGCCCAACAATCCCTCTGCGCAGTCCGACATTACCTTGATCGACATCGTTGCCGGGACGTTCGCCAGGCTCGACTATGCCAGTAGCGGGCACTTGAGCATAAGTTTTCCTCGAGAGGTTGCTGACTATGCTCGCGCTCTGGTTTCCAAGTCCCGCGAACAGCATCGAGAGCCAGACTCGCGCCAGTGGACCTCGGATCTTGACCAATTGTTCAACCTCGACGCTGATATGGCGGTTAGTGGAAAAGCCCCTGCGCGGCCCTTCTCAGAGACATGTTACTAACATATGCCATGATCAAAAGTTCTCAAACATGGACATGGTAGATTTCGAATCGTACGAATGGCCTCTGATGCCATCCAGCTGTTCTTGACATCACTACGACGCAGATGAGTTGCCTGATATGGCCATTGGAAAATGCCGAGGCGATCCTTTGAAGTTCACGAAAACATATGATGGATGGTGTTTGTCAACCCCTGTCGGCGATCCATCTGTAGTCAACGAGACAAGACATCGGAATATGGATCACGGCCACTCTCCCACTGGAAATAGGATTACTGTGTGACGGATGTACTCCTCGGGGATGATTACAAGTGTACCAGACACCACAACTCCCTCGTCTCTGTGAGACAGAAGGGAAAGATGGTAAAGAATGGCTCTATTAGACCCATTCAACCACGTGAGCCATCTCCATGGACAGCCTCCGCTAGACGAATCTGACAAGTGTTGCCAGATGCTCTCATCTCCGTCTTTACCTCTATTAGTATTACAGTTCGAGGGTCATATACTCGCGTCAGCTCCATAGAGGCGCCACGGCCTCGTCTGCGGGCTTAATAACGAGCTATGGTAAATGCGGGAGACATGGTTCTAGCATGATGCTTCGGTTGTGGACCAGAGCTACACCACATGACATGACCACCAGCTTCCGATCCGTTGAGAAAGCCCCGAAAAGCGGCTGCTGTGATGTTATCATACATTGCGGTTTTTGGATCTGGATCTCTATACTACCACCACAGAAAATCTGACCAATATTCAGCGAGATGGAGAGAAGGTGGAAGTGGCTGGAAGCAGATTGAAACCAAAAAGACCTTGAGAAAGATTATTAGTCAATCACCGAAAAAGAAAAGGTGTAATAGCGAACCCTCCATTCGGCTCACGTAGAGGACGAGCTCGGAAGAGACACTCGTCTGTGGGGACCACACCAAATTCCCCAATTTAGTTACCTTGATAAAATTACCCAATTTGGCCGGGGAGTTGCGTGCCCCCGGCTTCCGGAGGGGGGGAGAACACCATAGCCCTCCTAGTCTCCCAGAAGCTATCCGTTCTTCTACAGGACCCTCGCGCATGGGGGAAGTACTTCGTCTCTTACCTGACTTCTCGTGAGTAACCACTTCCTCTGACAGAACGAGGACCATTGGGCTGAGGACAGACAATTGGCTCTTAACAGCAACCGATACTCCCCTCTGAGGCCCAAAACCCCCTCCCTAGGAAAAATGGGCTACAATACAGAAAAGACAGAATGGCCGACATTCGAGATCAACAAGGCCGTCAAGGAGCTCATCGACCAGTTCTTCTGGCAGCTAGACCAGCAGGACCCCAAGGTTGGAGACATTCTGGCGGACGACATCTTTGCAAAGACCGGACAGGCAGAGTTTGGAGGACACTTGTACTCTGGACCCGAAGGCAAGTTCGCTCTGCCCCCCGCTTCTTTCCTCACGTTCCGTGCTCTTTCTCGCTGACGACTGAACGACTGATGGCTGACCGCTGGCTGCTGTCACAGAGATTCGCAAGTCCAGAGACAACGCGTGGAAGGTGATATCCAGCCGCCGCCACGAAGTCTTGAAGGTCTTCTCTGCCGACCTCGACGGCAGCGACCTCCTCTTCATCGGGAATGTAGCAATGGGCCTCCGCAACGGGCAAAGCGTGGCCGGAGAGTTCACCGGGAGGCTTCGCATCGAGAATCCGACGTCGTCGCAGCCAAAGCTCCTTCTTTACCAAATTTGGGCGGTACGTTTTTCTTAATTCCCTTCTTTTTTTGTGGCCATTCTGGACACGGCATTAACGACTTTCGGGTCTATCGCAGGACTCTGCACCGCTGGTCAAGGCACTGCAAGGAAACTAAAGGGGCAAAGGTAAAGAGGGTAGCAAGCAATTATGATCTAGAGCTGGATCTATTAGAATAGTCTCTCATGCGAAGTGTCTGTCGACTCTCGCAGATCGAGGACCCCTGAGCCGGAAGCGGTGGAGGTGGCTGATATAGTGAAGCCTACATCTGCGACGAATTGTCTCTACAAGATGTATTGCAGGCCCTTGATCTACTGAATGACCATCTTATTCTTGATTTTGCTTGTCTGACCGCTCCCAACTTTGACCACGTCCCCCAATCTCAAGCCCCACAGGTTCTTCAGGAAATCGATGATAACAAACGGCTTATACCATTTTCTCTTCAGGTTTAGAGCTTGCTCAAGTACACGTTGCCATTGTCCTCCTTCAAGTACTCATCCTTGGCAAACTTCTCGTAGAATACCAAGCTGCCAGGGTTCTCCACCGCCCCGGACGGTGTGACCTTTTGACCCGAGACGATCTGCTTGACGGCCAACTCGATCTTCTTCCCGTTGATCGTGTAGGGGATCTCGGGGGTCTGGAAGATGAAGCTGGGGACGTGGCGGGGGCTCAGGGCGGTCGCAATGGCAGACCGAACGGCTGCAATGGTGGATTGTGGAAGAGGCCGGTCGTCTTTCATCTTGATAAAGAGTATGACGCGCTCATCCGAATCTTGCGGCCGACGCTGGCCCACGCACAGGGTGTCTTCGAACTCCTGGAACTGGCTCACCGCGTTGTAGATTTCTGCCGAGCCAAATCGAACACCTGAGGGGTTGAGTACGCCGTCACTTGGGAAAACGTCAGTCTGAATAAAAATGCAGGGAGAAGGGAGCGTAGGAGGCGGAAGAGCTTACGATCGGCCCAACATAGTAAAGCCACCTGTAGCGGGCGACGACGAGACGAAATCCCCCTGTGTCCAGACCTTGTCGCCAAATCGGTCGAAATAGGCTGATCTGTACTTCTCCATGCCCTTCTCGCCCCAGAAGAGAACTGGCTGAGAGGGGAATGGTTGGGTGCAGACTAACTCTCCCGGTTCTCCAGTGTTTTTGATCGACACGGGATAGTCCTTTGTACTGTCCAAGATATCAACAGCCATGCCCAGGGCTGGCACTTGAATTTCTCCCGAATACAAAGGGCTGGTGGGGTCACCTAGGACAACTGTGTGTGACAAAAGTCAGCTCAATTAAATGGAGAATGTCTAGGTTCGGCCGACCTACGTGAGCATGCCATGTCGGTTCCTCCACTACCAGACACGAGATGGATTTTTTCCGGGAATCCAGCATCGTAGAACCATTCGCACACCTTGGCTGGGAGGACGGATCCTGTCGAAGAGACTGTTCGTAGACTATTTAAATCGATTGTTTCCCCTGCGAGATCAGTAAATCCTCCATCTTACAAAGTGAGGATTCTGCTTACTCGGATTGAGGTGCTTGTCGTGAAGGTCGGTCAAGAACCGTGAGGAAGTGCCGAATAATGATATTCTGTCGATAAAGGATCAGTAAAGGGTTTTATTGACTTGGGCGCAATACTCCTGTACTTGAGTTTCTCCACCATGCGCAACGTGACAAGAGGGTCAGGATAGAGCGGAGACCCGTCATAGAGCACAACGCTGCCCCCATATGAGAGGCCGCAGAGAACCATAGCCCACATGATCCAGCCGGTCTAAGATGTGTCAGTGAGAGTCTTTGGACAATGTTTTGTTCAGGGCATGTCGCACGGTAGTATACTGATAGATGGTGTCGCCCGGTCTAACATCCAAATGGAGCATATAGTCTTTCTTGATTTGTAACAACATGGCCTGCCAGAGTCAATCGAGTCAGCGTTAAGTCAATCCTAGGCGTTGAATCCCAAGTCGAATCAGACTCACACATGCACTATGGACAATGCACTTTGGAGCACCTGTCTATATCCACGTCAGCCAACATCATGATACCCAAGTCCCGAATGTGAGACTTGCCGTGCCGGACGAATACACGATAAATCCGGGTTGCCTGAATGGCAACTGGGCAAAAGTGAGTTCTCTCTCTGGAGCTCCGTTGACAAATTCGCTCCACGAGACAACATTGGTCTTGCCTTTGGTTGGGTATGGGATCTCTCGAACGATCACGATACCGAGCTCGAAGTTTCTCGTCTTGCGTAATCTGGCGAGACATTCGTCGCACTTTTGAACCAGAGGACGCCGCTTTCCGTTATACTGGACCGAGCTCTCGAAAATGACCACTTTCGGTTCGATCTGGTTCAGTCGCTGCATGATGCCTTCGACGCCCATGTCAGGTGAAGACGTGGACCAGACGGCACCCAAGCTCAAGACGGCGAGACAGGCGACAATCGCCTCGAGACAATTGGAAATGACGGCGGCGACTCGATCACCGACCGTCACCCCGGCCTGGGTCATGGCGCTGGCCGTGGCTTTGACCATTTCTCGAAGTTCGGCTTTGGTCACCGGCCTGATGACCTCGCATCCCTCCGAAACAGCGTACAGGGCGACCTTGTTCAGCGTCTCGATGTCCAACAAATGCTCTGCAAAGTTCATGCGGACATGGGGAAAGAACTCGGGCGGGGGGTACATGGCAAGATTCTAACCCGCGTTAGAGAATTCCCCCATCCACAGATGGACAAAAAGCTTTTTTTTTTTTTTTTTTTCAGGGAGGATTTTTTGGTTACGAACAATCCGTTCCATCGCCTTCGTAGGCACAACGCCGGGCTTTATCTGTTCATACTGGAACAGCTCGACCCAGAAGTCTGGCGCGGTCTGAGGATTTGTCGACCATGCATGCAGGTCTGCAAAGTTTCGCAGATTCAGCTCTCTCTTCGCATTCACGCGCCGGCGGAATTTGTCCATGTTTGTCTGCGATGGGTCGGCATGTTGCCAAAGCTTGCGCGGCGCAAGGGCTTTCGACATGGTGACCCTGTGGTTCTTGACAATTGTACGTGTGCGATCTGGAATCTCCAGGCTGATATAGATGAGAGGAGTGCTGGACAACGGAGTCTCCGCCTGAATTACAATCGAGATATGCAGTCCCTCAGGGCTTACGACTGTACAAAAGCATGGCAGAAAGCGCCAACCAGCTAAAGCTAGCTATACTCGGTACGTGATGTGGCATCCCTGAGTCGGATGGCCATCGAAGCCGAGGTTACCAACTTAGCCAACACAAGACCTTTACTCGGTAGCATACGGTAGTTTGTCAAGCCTCGTGAACGGACTTTGCACTAATGATCCGGAAGGGGTGGACGTCCCGGAAACCGCACGGGACCGTAATTAACGGGCTGTCTAGCATTGGGGCCTCGCCTCAAATGTACCGGAGGTGTATTCTCCGGGGTCCGGTACCCCGGGTTAAAGTGCATTGGAACTAGCCAGATCGATCGAGCCTCAGGGCTGCTTTTGTGCGTAGATGAGGAGCCACCATTACTAGCGTCTTGGTTGGCAGTATTTCACACATACAGGGTACATAGGCGCAAAGGTAGGATGGGGTACCTGGGCCACCAGGAGCAGGTAGGTATAGAACCTTGGTGTCTGGAGTCAAGTACCCGGCAAAGCTCTTTTCGGGGCCCCCAGACTCTTCAGCCCACTCTTGGACTCGTGCTGTGGGAGACGAGACCATCACCACGCTACGGCACAAGCTGACTAGTAGTTGCCCGAGCAGAAGACAATACACGAGTATGAGCAGCACAGTGATATTGAACAGCAGGCACAATTCCTCACGCGGTAAGCCATTTCTTATCCAGTAGACTAACGATTCTAAGTCATCACTCTCTGGGTCTGGACACCTATCACGCAGTTCGCAACATAGGGTGACCCCGACAGACAGCTTCAGTGACGGAGCTCTTTGGTGGTGTCTGGCTTTAGATATCTCCTGCTCATGCCCCGGCATTCACCACTCGATCTTCTCTTCCCGCTTTCAATTCGTTCCTGCCCATAATTCTCTTGGGAACGTGGGAGGTGAGTAGGGTGTCCATATCACGCATGATGAGGGCAGCAATCGTCGAAACCAGACCAAATGCCAGCGCAGCATAATACACATAGGCATAAGCTGCTGACTCTCCGTCAAGGACGGCATTCATCACCGTGGTCAAGATGGCTGGGCTGATTCCCGGAACCTGCTCCAGGGCACTTGAGGAGCCAGTGGCGATCGCGGCGAAGAGGTCAGGAAGAGAGCTCTGAGGGAGACCAGCTTGGAGTGCGGCGGGAACGACATGGCTCTCCAGCTCCCCAGGTAGCTTATCTGAAGGGTACAAAGTCAGTTGCGGCAGAAAAGGTGAGCGAACGGTACATAGATAGTCTTACTATTCAGGATCGCCAACAGAATCGCTGTTCCGATGGCACCAACTGCTGTGCGAGTACCAGCCAAGAACGAGAAGGCCGATCCCAGCTCTCCGTCATTTGGGGCGAGCAATTGCACCAGGGCAGCAGTTTGTTGTTCGATCACTCCAATCGGAAGACCTGCGAGGAAAGAGCAGGCAATACCGAACCCTCGATTGTGCCTATTGCAGTTCGCCAGAGCACCAGTAAATGCGGTCATCCACGCGGATAGCAAGACAAGCTGCCACTTCACGTGTTTGATGACCCCCCATAATGGCCCCAAGAAGACCATTCCACCCCAGACGGAAATTCCGAGGGTGGTCGATAGCCACGCTGTCTCTTGCCATGACGTTGTCGGTGTTCTGTATATCGTAGCAGCCTCTGCGGTTGGTATCGCAGTGTTAGCATGTCACTTTCCCACAGAATGAGCGAATAGCTCCATCCGGAGGACGCGATGCGTCAGAATTGACAGACTTACGTGTTGGCCAGATGATGGATAGACCGATGTAAGCAATACCACCGACGCTTGAGCAGATGATTACCATGCTGTATCCTCGTATGTCTTTGAAGGAGCTCTTGGGCAGAAGGGGCTTCGCCTGGGCCACATAAATTTCTCCAACCAGTCAGCCCATATTGTGACCATAAACCAAAACACGACCCTGTTACTTACCATAGACGACAAACGCGATCAAAACCAGCCCACCAGAAATGATCAAACC